GCTCCGCCCTCACTGGGAGGGGCTGGCCTTCAGCTCCGCCCTCACTGGGAGGGGCTGGCCTGCAGCTCCGCCCTCACTGGGAGGGGCTGGCCTGCAGCTCCGCCCTCACTGGGAGGGGCTGGCCTGCAGCTCCGCCCTCACTGGGAGGGGCTAGCCTTCAGCTCCGCCCTCACTGGGAGGGGCTAGCCTTGTCCTCACGGGCCGTTTCCTTTGGGGCTGTCAATCTGGCTGTCTGGTGAGCACACCCTGATTGTGTTTGTCCCTCCCGCCTCCAGAGTGACCGCAGCGGCGCTGATTCTGTCTTGTAGACGCGTTTCCAAACCAGGCCACGTTCTGAGGGGCGGTGTAGACATGAATATTTTGGGAGGTGGACGCTATAAACCTGGACATCTGCCAGAAATTACAGCTTCGTTCTCTGCTGCGGAAACCCCGGGGCAGGGCCAGCGTGCAGAGAGAGGGCCTGGGGTCCTGCTCCCCCAGCACGTGACAAAGGGGCCCTGAGTGTCCCCAGCGTTGGCTCCCATTTTGCTCAACCCCCATGAGGGACCTGAAGACAGAATCAGCCAGCCAGGCTGCGCAGGCCCCACTGGCAGGAGCCTGCCGTGGGGAGGGGTGGGTGGGGTGGGGTAGAGGAAGTGGAAGAGCCACTCATGGGCTATTTCGGGAGAGCGGTACCTCTCCCACCATCTCTACAGCTCCCTCTGCCGCCTCTTCAGTCTCGCAGCCTGGTTTTCCACTGGTGCCAGTGCCTAGAGCTAAAGTTCAGGAAAAAGAGGCAGGCATGATGAGAAGCAGGCCCTGCTCTCCTCCTCCAGGTGGGCCGGGCAAGGAGAAGGGTTGTCACGGCCAGGTCTCCTTCCAGCCCTGCTCCCGCAACAGGCAGATGGGCCAACAGACAGGCCCAGGAATGCCAGACGGGTTCCTCATGAGGCAGACCCCCAACCCTGTCCTTCCTGCCTTCCTCTTTGCACATGCGCAAGCCTTGGGAAAGCTATACTTCATCCTCAGAGTCCACCTTTACCTGAGGGAAGGTGCCCGCGTGTCTGATGCCGTCTCTTGGTTGGCCCTCAGCACAGGGCAGTGTCTGTCCGCATCAGTCTCGCTCTTTGGAGCCAGTGCATGTCTGTCTTCCCAGGGTGTGTGTGGTAGAACATGGCGCCTCACACTGGAGCTCTACCACTGAAGCCACTGGACTGAGGCAGAGTGAGTTGAGATGCACCCTGGGCATTCCGGGTCCTTCCTGCAAAACTGCAGACAGATCTCCCGTTACTGGATTCTGGGTACTGACTGCATGCCTCCAGGGGGCAGGGTTAGGTTACTCAGACTTAACAAAACGCTATTAAAATGGCTTTCACGCGCTTGTTCCTTTTTATCTGGTTTCTGGAAAATGTGAGAAGACGGACGCGCTCTGTGTTGCGTGTCCCCCGGGCACTGGCGACCTGTGGGCTGTAGCAGCGGCTGTGGTCCACTCCTGTGGACGGACGCGCTCTGTGTTACGTGTCCCCCGGGCACTGGCGACCTGTGGGCTGTAGCAGCGGCTGTGGTCCACTCCTGTGGCCGGCACCCGGTTCACAAGCTGGTCAGTCTAGACGACAGGAGATTCAAGAGGCACCAGAACAGACACGCTCGCTGGCCTTGCGGAATGCAGGCCTGCTGGAACTCTGTGGAGACACCCACCCGGCCAGCCCGTTGGACAGGTCTGACTGATCCCATCACCGGAGTTTTAGGGCAAAAAGCCCCCACTCTGGGAGTTCTGAGAGTCTCGGCTCGGCCACAAGCGCCCCGTGCCCATCAAAGAGAAGAGGGAACAGCGGGAGGAACCGAGAGTGGAGGCCCCGAGACGCAGATCTATTTGAGGGGCGGAGGGGAAGTTTGAGGTATTAGAAAAGGGGAACGAAGCCCAGGGCTGTGGGTTTGCACAGCTGGGAGGCATGCATAGCTGCCGGGGGGGGGGGGGGGGGGGAGGGGGGGGGGGGGGGGGGGGGGGGGGAGTTGACCTGAAGGGTTGTTTTCATTGGCTGGACACAAGCCCTCAAATGCAGCCATTGGCTAGGCTCTCCCAGTGGATGCCGACCATGGCTGTTCATTCGAGTTCATGGAGGTCACACACCTTGATCTGGGGCAGGCACACGAGGCCCTCCTGGGCTGCACTGTTCACGACGTCTGTGTTGGTTGGGTGCCAATAGCTTCCACCCCATTGTGGGCCTGCCTTTTGTGTGAAAGCGTTTACGTTACTGCTCAGGCCACCAGTACACAGAAAACTCGTACCCTCACCTCAACACCTCACCGCAGAACAACCCAGAAGCGGCTTGGGCTCCTATGTAGAACAAGGCCTGTGTCCGGGCCCTGGCTCCCTGCCTTCCTGACTTCCCCAGCACTGGGAGTGTGTCATCGGCACGTGGCTCACCGTCCCCCCCCCCCCC